TATATATATATATATATATATATATATATAAATGACATTACGTTCTAGTTTCACTAAGAAAGAAAACAATAGTTTTTAAAAATTAAATCCCTCACAGAAATATCTGCAAGTTTCAAAAGAAAAAAATCTTTAGCTTTTTCATATGGTGTTTCTCAGTGGAGGCACTAACATCATTTTGAATGGAACAATTTTTCAGATCCATAAAGCTCTGCCCCATGCGCTGCAGGCCTCAACACAATGCTGCTAACAGCAACTATCCCATGCTCCACTTGAGGACTAGTACTTTAATTTCAAATACAGTAAACAATTCAATAAAGAAGTAAAAATTTAACTTACCAAATCTCCACTATCAGGAACTGCAAAATTAAGAAAAGAAATTCAAATGAATAAAACATTAAACAAGGCTTATTATAAAACAACTATTAATACTCAAACTAAAACATTATTTACCTTCAGGAGGGGCAAAAAAATTAAAGAAAGAGTCATTGGAAACTGTTTTAGTCACAGTACGAACTGTCCCACGTCCCTTGTGTTTCTGCTTCTTCTTAATGGTTTTCAAAGTGACATTCTTTCCTTTTTTCCAATCTATCTGGCATCTTGCAAAACACAGGGGGAAAATATTCTATCACAATTGGCACATTTTCAACTGCTACATTTTAGAAGTAAACATTATACTCAGATTTCAAATTTTAGAGAATGAAATTGGTCCAAATGTTTTCTGTAGCAATATAAAGACAAAAATTTTATTTCTAAACAAATTTTTAAAATAAATATATTTACAATTAGCACACACAATATAATAAACAAATAAAGATGCACCCTTTGTAGAAATGTGTTATAGTCACGGGCCCAAGGAGACTTGTAGGAAAATGGAGAAACAGTTCTCAGAAAACATTTTATTGAAATGTTTGGCAATAAATTATGTATAAATGTATCAAGCACACACTGGAAATACCAAGTATCCCAAATCACAAATACAACAAAAAAACAGGTATAACATTCTGTTAAAGTAGTAAAACTAAACTCACCCTGTACAACCCATAATTTCTGGTCCATCAAAAGAAAAAGGATCAGAATCATCTGGTTCTGACCTCATCCTGTATGTCTTTGTCAGCACTTCATTTGTGAAATATTCATTGGGTTCAAAGTGAAATTCTAAGACAAAACTCTTTTTAAAAATAAAAAAAAAGCATAAAAAATAGTTAAATTCCTACCTCATAAATTTTCAATACCTTAGTAAATAAAGCTTAATCTGTGGTTTTTATAAGCATATATAAAATTCTAAAAGTTTTTACTACTCTGAAATATGATAATATAACTTTAAGAGAGTGTCAGATAAATCCCAAATAATGTTAAAAAACAAAACAAGGCACAAATTAAACTGAAAAAAAGCTTAGTTGCAATTTATAACGATTATTTAGTAACATGTTTACATAATAGGCTAGGCACATCTAAATAAACTGACCAAGTCCCCTGTTTCCTCTCCACCTCTCCCCAATGGGAGCTTTTAAATATTAGACTAGAACCTAAACTTGACACAGATACAGCCCAACTTTAAAACCTACAGAATCTACAACCTACATCTATAGTAGCTTTGCCCACAATTGACCTAAGACTGATGGTTTTGGGGAGAGGGTATTAGCTGTTCCTTCCTCAATTTGGGAAGCCCTCTAACATTGCTTGTTTTATGTAATTCCCAGGCACATGCCTTTTAATACAGAATAAGTATTTACTTTTTCAGGTTCTCTTGCCATTATTTTTTATCCACTTTAATCCAGGATCAAGGATTTCAAGGATTGTCTGATTTTCAAAAGCAGTTTATGTTCAAAAGTAAGAAAAGAAATATATACTGCATCACAACAACATCCAAATTTTATTTACTACAATTAAAAGAATACAAAGTATCAGTTTTAATTCTTTCTGACCTCCATCTCTAAACCTTGAATGTCATCTCTTTATAAAAACTTCCATTTATCTACCTATAAGCATCTGTTACAAAACTGTAAATATTTCAGGGTTCTTTTACCATAGGCTGGCCAGCATCTGAGAACTTCACTTTAATATCTTTCAAGTGCTTCAGAATAGGTTCATCGTGTTCCTTCAAATTAAAAGTAATAAAAACGATTATCAAACATGCCATTTTAGAGTTAGTGTTCTGTTACTACACAAACATATTAAGATAATATATTTTATAGTAAGGTTTTATATAACAATTATGAACCTTCAGATTCAAACTCTTGAGTTTATGGCTCATACTGAAGCATAGTTTTATACTGTGATTCTACTGCCACTGGTAGAGAAAAAGTGACTAAATAGAAAACTATATCATTATACTCATTCAGGTTGAAAGGGCTGAACATTATAAAACCAAGCCTAAATAAGGCATGTTTCTTTAAAAATGTTTCCTGATTATATCTGCTGCCTCTTCAGTTGCCTTTTCCTTTCCCACTTTGCTAAAGTAGAAATGCAATAAGCAGTCATCGTGTTGAGATCATTTATTTTCTCTATGTAACTTCAAACAATCCAAGACAGGGCAACTACTACTACAATGCAGATAGTGGCTCAAGAAATGCCTGAGAGGCAAAGTTTCCCAAAGAAGGTGACATCTGTGTTGGTTTCCCAGAAAACTTAACAATTGTGAACAGTTAAACATCTTTTTTTTTTTCCTTTTTGTCTTTTTTCGTGTCCGGCAACGGATCGCAACCCTCAGTGTCGCGCCCATACTGGACCGGACCGGACCTGCAACGGGATCGCAACCCTCGGTGCTGTGCCTGTACCTCGCTCAGCCAGTGAGCGGGAACCGGTCTGTATGTGGGATCCGAACCCTCGGCGGGAGCGCCACCACGCTCCTAAGCGGCGCACTGTAGCAGTGCGCCACCGGGCCGGCCCCAGTTAAACATCTTTATAGTATTCTTTTAAAATGCAAATTCCCCCTGGAATAGTTTTTGTCTCAGTCTGAGAAATTTAGGGCAATACAATGAAAACTATAAGATTCTCACCCCAAGGCTACCTCCATACTAAGCATGTAAAGACAGAGGGCACAGGATACAAGAAAGCACCAGTCAATAATGAGCAATTATCCATGGGACCATTGCATTATCTAATTTCTGAAAATTATAATTTGATACATTAATCAAACCATTAATTTTCCCTCTACAGATAATAGCTGTTTCAAAAGAAAGCAATCATTCTATAAAGGTCAACACTGAAGAGAAGAGTCATCATAGCCATTTAAGTTCCAAAAGTTTACCTTTTGAGGTAAACTGGTCTTTTTATAAATAAAATTACCTGAACCATATCACTGAGCAAGTCAACATTCTTAAAAACAGTCAACCAAAATTCAGGAATTCCTTTGGGGTCTTCTTTTTCTTCATCCTTTTTCTCATCTTCAATCTTGGCCTTTTCTTTCAGCTCCTCCTTAATAAGTGACAACATACATTACCGAACAGCTAGATCAGACCTCCCAGTAAACGTTATACACCTCCTTAATTTACACAGTGCCAGAAGTACAGACACCAACAAACCCACAATGACCAATTATAACTTCCAGCCTAATTGTGTAAACACTGCTGTTACTTACCCCAAACCTTAATTTCATCATAATTATTCCTACCACACCTCCCAAAAAGAACCACTAGAACCAACAGCTACAGGAAAAGCCAATTTAGGAAAAAAATGAAAAACTTCATAAAAAATAAAACTTTTAAGCATAGTATGCCAAAGAAAAACTGCCCAATTCCTCACTCTGTGGTGTTTCTATTCAAAATACTATATTCTCTGTATTAACCAACATTAAAACAGCAATGCTACAGAGAAGCATTGTAATACAGAAGCATCATGTAATACAGCAATAGATTTCTGTCACAGCTCTGCCATTATTCTCTGTGCGCAAGTCACTTAAAAGCCTCCGTTTCTTCACTTGAAACATGGGAACAATCCTTTGCCTGTCATCATAAAGTTCAAAAGAAAAGTTTATATGAATCTATAAACTTTAAATACTATATATGTAAGGAAAAAATAAATTTGGGAACAGACAGTGCCAGGTTGAAAGAGGCTCATCTATACTACCCATCTTACAAAAAAGACATTTCCTAGGTAAAATACCACTGATTACATAATATTGTGCCCCATCACCAAATGCTAACACTTCTGACAACTCAAGGTTTTATCATCTAAATATACACTAAAATAAAGTTAGTACTAACCGAAATTTCATCTTCCTCATCTGGTTTCCATTCACATTCTTCTTCCGTAGGTTCATAAATTGCATTAATGATCTCAAATCGCTAAAATGATTTTAAGGAAAAAAAAGGCTTGCATAAAAACATTGGCATCCAAGCTAAAAACGAGTGGTTTCTCATTAAGGAATCTTACAGATTTAATACATTCTACAAACTTAACTGCTAGTTTGATGGCTTTCCCAATGGTTTGATCATTTCAGTGAGAGGTCTAAAGACTGTATTCCACCTGTTAGTCTGCCTGTATTTCCAGAGCTTGTCTTCTAGAATTTTTGATAAACTAAAAAAAGTAGTAGAAAGCATTACCTTATCAAATAGAGGCTGATAGAGAACAGCATACTTCCTTTCAAGATCATGAACTTCCTCATAGAATTTGGCTTCTATCTGTGCACATTTAACTTGAAGGTTTTTGAGAGCATTCACTCGTCTTTTAACTACCCTAGGTAAGCTGAAAGGTTAGAAACCAGTTACATAGGATCATATTAAAAACAAAAGTCACACTTCTTTTCATCATATTGAAACTAAAGCATAAATGTGAATGTTTCCTATTTGAGGTAAAAGGTATTCAAAGTAATTAAAATTCAAGATAGATATACTAACCTCTTGAGTATAAAACATTTCAAAAGTGGAAAATTAACGAGGTAAATTGGTAAGAAAATGTAAATCATATTGTCAATCTTATACCATTAATTGTAATATAAAGTTCAGTGTTAGACTTGTCACTGCTGGCATTTCAACTGTAAAATGAAATCTGGCTTATGAAGTTATTAAAAAGTCATGGACTAATCATCTCAACTCTGAAAATAACAATGATTACTTGAATTTTTTTTTTTAACATATATTATCTCACCTGTACCAGTTATTAGGGGAAAGGAGGGGAGGACATGCATATTGAGAAAAAGGATGATATCCTACACCATTATTTTCAATTTCAGTCTCTCTATATTTAATCTGCAGCTTGAAATTACACTGAGTAAAAATGTAATCTAAAGAGGGGACATGGATTTTTAAAATAGAAGTTTTATTGAGATATAACTCATACCATACAATTCACTATAGGGCACTGATTTTTTAAAAGGTTATATACACCTAGGTTATGAATCCCTTTAAGAATGATCTTACCACCCCAAAAATGTTCCCCCTCAAAATTTACCCAATTTCAGAGAATCTGTGCAACAGTTCCAGAAAACAGCTTAAAACTTCCTGCAACAGACAGATTTTTGTATATCAAACAATTCTTTCACTTAACCACTACTTTTGTTAAGGTTATTAGAAATAAAAACAAACACCTAAAAAAAAAAAAATCAACTTTCTATTTCTGTAATTAAAAGTAAAAAAGTGTTCTGTCAAGTTGGTAAACTAGTATAGTCTACTGGCTTCCCCTAATCCCCTAAAAAATTACCCTAGAAACTTCAGAACCAAGAAGGAAACAACTATTTCAGGCACGCACACACACACCATGAACAACTTCTGAGTAAGAATGAAGGCTGTCTTTACTGTACATGGTGAAATGCAACCTGGGGAGGGGAAGGGATGGCTTACTGGGTAGCAAGAAGTGAGGACAGGTTGGAAGAAAGCATTTTTGCAAGAAATCTTTTTAAGTTCTGCTCCTGCCTTGCAACAATGCCCACCTGCCCCCATCGCTCTTCACAAGAGCCCAGTGCCAGGGTTTCTAGGATAACATGAAAAGTTGATGAAAGCTAGAGTGGCTCATAGCCCTCTAAGCACTCATTCCTCTACCCTGTGCAATCTAGTTATAATGGATTAGACAACCAAAGGAGACTGCCTCCTCCCAAAGCATTTAAGGGAACTGGTACTCTACTTAAGCTCATCCTGTCCCCTCCTTAAATTCCACGGGACCATTGCAGACCAATCTGGCATTTGTTCCTCCCCCAATACTCATTATCAGAGTAACTGATATTGCTCAGTGTGCAACACTTTAGTGTAATTTCTATGAAAAAATGAAACAGTTATCATGTGAGGTGGCATTATTAGACGAAGAATTTATATTTAGAGATGAGGAAAGATATTAACAATATGAAACAAGAACAAGAAATCTAAAATAAAGTGGAAACGTTAAGTGTGGAAAATACAGTAACTGAAATAACCAACAAATAATATAAACAGGATAGATTCAACTGAAGAAAAAGTTCATGAAATTGAAAAGTTCTCCCAGAAGGCAGCATGAAAGACAGAAAACAGAAAAGTTCTGAGATATGGATGACCAAAGTAGCCAACAGTTGAGTAACAAGAGAAGGGAGTGAATAGCTTAAGAAACAAGAAAGACAAATTTCTCTGCATTAAAGCTATATAAAAACCCTTACTCTACCCCTCAGGCATATTAATGAGATTTATAAATATCAAAGACAAAAGAAAGTTCTAAAGGTGCTCAGCAAAAAAAGAGCAAATAACCTACAAACCAAAAGGAATCAGACTAACTAACACCAAGCTTCAAAAGAAACACTATACAAGAAGAAAATGAATTTTTAGATATTTAAAAACTCTGAATTTACAATTTTTTAGCCAAACTATTTCTGTATCAGGTATACCAGGCTTCAGGAGGTATGCCACAGATACTGATTACAAGTAATTTTTGAAAAACATAAAAAAAAGAGCCATGAAATTCTACTGAAGATACAAGTGGTCAAATATCTTGGTAAATTTCATGGTTGCTTTGAAAGAAAAAATAGAGGACCAGAGAAAGTACATTTATAAACAATACAGATACTGGTCAATTTAAGAAATCAATAGGAGTTAAAAAAAAAAAAAACCAAAAAAAACCCCCCAGGTATTTGGTTATGAGCCACTACCATAATAACCAAACAGAAAGCAATAACTTCGAAAACAGCAGAAAACAACTTGATCTATCCAATAGAAAGCAGAAAGTTGGGACTGGCTGGTAGCTCAAGTTGGCTAGAGTCTGGTGTTATAATACCAGGGGTCAAGGGTTTGGATCTCCATACTGGCCAGCTGCCAAAAGTAAATAAATTAATTAAATTAAATAACTAAGAAGGCAGAAAGGGAAGAAAAAAAGTACAAAAAATTTTAAAATAGGGAAAGACAGCAGCAGTATAATACCAGGGGTCAAGGGTTTGGATCTCCATACTGGCCAGCTGCCAAAAGTAAATAAATTAATTAAATTAAATAACTAAAAAGGCAGAAAGGGAAGAAAAAAAGTACAAAAAATTTTAAAATAGGGAAAGACAGCAGCAGTAAGTCCAAAAACACTATAACTTTAAGAAATATAAAGAAATTGAACTTACTAATGAAGCAAACATTCATACTAAAGGAAGATACAAGGACAGAAAAAGATATACCAGGTTTAAAATAAAACACACTCACACAAAAGAAAGCCAGGGCAGATATCTCACTATCAGACAGATAGAATTTATAGCAAAAAAAAAAACCGCTCAAAAAAACAAAATACAAATGAAGAAATTATCTTTTGGTAAAACAGAACGGAATAATATTTATACATCACAGACATCATATACCTAATAATATGGCTTCAAAATACATCAATCCACAACTGATAGAATTGAGCCAATTAATTTCAGCATACAGATCTTCACACCCACTTTAAACAAGAGTATTAAGGCCATAAAGAAAAAAAAATTAAAAAAATAAAACTCAGGGGGCTGGCCAGTTAGGTCAGTTGGTTAGAGGGCAGCCTTACACCACCAAGGTCCTGGGTTCAGATCCCCATACCAGCCAGCCACCAAAAAATAAAGCAAATAAATAAATTAAATTAAAAAATAGAAATCAATGAACTAAGCATTCAATTGAAGAAACTGGAAAGAGGAATTAGGGAAAATCTAAATAGGAAGGAAATGATAACATTAAAGCCAGAAATCAATGAGAACAGTAATAAAAAATATAAAAAAGGAAAATCAAAAGCAAAATTAATGTTCTAAGAAACACTGTCAAGACAACAGGCAAAACTAAGATACAAAATATAAAAGTAAAAATAATCAGATTTTTATATCATGAATTATACCAATCAATTGAAAACCTTGATAAAATCCATACACGTTTAGAATATAAAATTCCAAAATTCACAAGAGAACTTGAGTAGACCAGTTAGTATGTTAAAAAAAAAAAGAAAAGAATGGTAGCCCAAAGTCACCAGGACCTCTAGTGCATAAACTCCAAAGGCCCAAATTACTTTCAGAAGAGTTCTACCAACAATTCAAGAAACAGTTCATCCCTATTTTACCCAAGTTGTTATAGAAAACTCAAAGGAAAAAAAAAGGATAAAAGCAGCACATTCCTTTCAATTGGCAGTTGAAATCTTGACTCCAAAGCCTTTCAATATTACCCCCCTTGAAAGTGTATTTATGCACATACATATATACATACACACATGCATAGATATGCACATAACAAGCTCATTTCACTAATGATAAGGACTCTAAATAAAATATTAACTATTTAATGCACCGGTGTAACAATACCACATCATGATTAAGTTTATCCCGGGAATGCAAGGCTACTTTGATATCTAAAATATGTATTTCCTAAACATGTACTTAACATTTACTTAATTCAAAGATTCAAAAAAAGAAAAAAGTTCAGATAAAAAAACAGTAAACAGGCACTGAACTGAATTCAATGCAGAGATTTTATACTCATTCCCAATACGATTGGAAATAAGACAAAGAGGCCCATTTTTAATGCTAATGTTTAACATAGTACTCAAAGTCCCAGCCAATGTTATAAAGAAAGAAAAATAAATATGTGGTGTGGTGTCATGTGAGAGATTAGGGCTAAAACTGCCATTATTTGCAGATAAGATTATTTTGTGGGGGGGGGCGCGGGGGGCGGGGGGCGATGGGGCTGCAGGATGGACCAAACAAATTACAATATATTTAGCGAGGTTACTAAATACAAGACCAAGTAGGAAGGAAAAAAAATAGCATTCTGTACATCAGGAACCAGAAAACACAATAAAAAAAGATATAATTCACAACAGCAACAAAACTGAAATATACATAAATGAACTTAACTGATAGACTATGAAGAAAACTTTGAAAACTATAAGATACAGAATATGATCTGAATAAAATACAAGTATTTGGATGGAGACACTATTAAAAGATGTAATTATCTGTCAATCTATAAATTGAGTATAATCCCTATCAAAATGTCAGGGTTTTTTGTTTTTTGAGAACCCTGATAAACTGTCAAAGGTATATGGGATAAAGATCTGCTTATGGTTAGCTCAACCCTAAGACTGTGTTTTTTCAGGAGGTGGGGGAATGTGGAAGAAAGGAACTTGCCCTGCCAGATATTAAGATATACTAAAAAATCATTCTAATTAAGTGCAATAATGGCACAGAAAAAAAGACCAATGAAACAGAAGAGTGCTTCTCGAAGACAGATGCAGGTATTTATAAGAACTTTATATGCAACAAAGGTGATACACAAATAAATGAGGGGAGAATGGATTGTTTACTAAACAGTGTTATAAAAACTAGCTCACTAAAAAATGGAGAAAAATAAAAGGGACTGGATGCTTACCTACACCAAATACAAACATGGACTCTAGAGAGATTAAAGAACTAACTAAATGTGAAAGTAAAACAAGTCAATAGAAAATGTAGAAGGAACTAAGGACTTCAAAAGCTCAAGCCATTGGGTAAAAAATTTTACTAACATAAAACTTAAGGATTTCTGTTTAATAGAGGACTCCACAAATAAAAGTCAGTAGAAATGACACAATATACTATTCACAATGTCTAAAATTGATATCTAGAATATATAAGCACTTGTGCAAAACATGAAAAAGACTGCAACCCTAATAGGAAAACACACAACCTAAAAGGCTCACAGGCATTATGAAGTTCAAAATTCATCAGGAATCGAGAAAATACAATAAAACAGGCTGGCCGGCTAGCTCAGTTGGTTAGAGCACAGCCTTGTAACACCAAGATCACAGGTTCAGATCCCGATACCGGTCAGCCACCAAAAAAAAAAAAGAAAAGAAAATACAGTAAAACAAAATGAGCCCACACCTCTTACATTGGTTTTTGAAAAAAAAACAAAAGGGGCCGGCCCCGTGGTGCACTCAGGAGAGTGCGGCGCTGGGAGCGCAGCGACACTCCCGCCACGGGTTCGGATCCTATATAGGACTGGCCAGTGGGCTCACTGGCTGAGCGCGGTGCAGGTGACACCACGCCAAGGGTTGTGATCCCCTTACCGATCACAAAGACAAAAAAAAAAAAAAAGTACTACACAGCTGGATGATGCCGACTGTTGGCAGAGACATGAAGATAAAGCAACCTTCATGCACTGGGTACGTATTTCTGGAAAACATGCTAAAAGTACTTAAGGCTTGCACACCCTATACAACTAGCAATGCCACTGCTGAGTACACATCCCAAAGAAATCCTTACACAATTCCTTTAGAGAACATGTACAAATGTGTCTATCACAGAAGAATTTGCGTTGATACAGACAGGAGTCCGTCAAAGAAAAAGCAGATCATAAAACATAGTGAACATACAGTAACTCCAAGAACTAGGCAACATTTAAAGGCTACTAACTAGAGATACATATATATAGTAACCTAAATGATCTGAGTTTTTAAAAATGTATAAGCTGAATCAGATATTCAGGCTATTATTAATGAATTATGTCACCAATGAAATAAATAAGAAATCTGAATTTCTTCTAATTTTGTGCATTTCTAACAAACCTCTAAACAAATCGGAAATGGTTAAAATCAGTATACTTTCTGTGGACTTTAAAATAAACCTTAAAAGACCTCTAAATAGGTGGTACTAGGCAAAATTTTAAACTCCCAACAGTTCTATACTAGACACTAACAGACATGAGGTTTCCACCATTAGGTACGTAAATCCTAGATGGTCTTAAAAAATAGATATACCTGCAATATTGATTATAGGAAGATAAATAAGGACTATGGAAAAGAAGAACTTGTACCTTTCAATGTATCCTGTTGGTGTTTCTACCAGACCATCAAGTCTTTCTTGAAGGGCTGCAAGAATCTGAGGATTTTGCATCATCTGAACAGTCAGCTGACGCGCTTTAAAAAAAAAAAGGGCATCAAAAAAAAAAAAGGATTTTATGAAAATGTATTATACTTTTTAAAAAGGACAATCCAATCATGAAGTTTTCCTTGACTGGCCCATAAACTGCTGGTATAATGAATAGAGACGGGCAGGGCAAGCCAAAGAAAATACACTCTAGGAAAACCCAATGTTGAGGAAAAGTTCAGTTTCCTAATGATCTCTAATGCATGGCACTTCTCAAGGCCATTACTACAACTACTATAAACAATATCCTTGTTCTTCCTAGTTTCTTTTGTTTCACCCACGTTGCATTTTGAGAAGCTCAAAGCTTTATCCAGATGCCTATCTATAACTCTTGACACTCCTCTGAAGGCAAATAATGCATATTAGAACACTACAAATACAGTGACAGTTTTAAGCCTGGGAGAATGATGGAGTGAGTGACCTGAATGTTTATGTATGATGCTTGTGTAGTATACTTGTGCACATATGAATAAAGTTAATAACTGAGGCAGTCAAAGGTTGTAATTGAAGCCAAATAAAATTGAGCTATTAATGGCTTTTAGAAATTATACTAAATCCAAATATAAGCTATAAATCTATACAAAATGAATTATGTTGCTATCTTCTATTCTTCAATACAGGTATTACACAAAATTGCCATTGAGTTTCCCAACTATGTTTTTGAAAGTCAATTTACTTCTGATATTAATTCAATTACTGGATAATGTACAGATATGATAACCACCATGCACTTAGAAATATCAATAAAGTCCTGTATCTGTTAAGAAAATGTTGCAAGATGAAAGCTGAAGCTACAAGTTCAGAAGTCTTCACAGTTAACTTTCATCTGGCTTAAAAACAAGTTGAGTCATCTGCTACCTTAACATCCTTGGTCCAGATCTACAAGGCATAACCTAAAACAGTATAATTTCCCACCACCTCCACCACTTAAAAAAAATCTGCTAAAGTAAATTTTAAATATTAATATTAAAGTAAATTTAATAAATGTCTACTTGTTGTTTGGCTGGAGGAGTGGCTTAAAAAAGAAGACACACATGCTATGTTTTCTATACATTAAACACTGAAAATATTGTTTAGAGAAAAATCACCTTTAACATTTCTAAATTCAGACAAAACTCACAGGCAGCTGTTTGACACAGCTATGTCAGGTTATTCCAGCAGTAGAGGGCGTAAACAGTGACTTCTTGTGAGTCACAAAATTTATACCTTCCTTCCCTTACTGCCACTCTATCCCCTCCCCAGCAAAGCTGATGAACTGGAAGTATGGATGAGTGAATAAACTGAACGATGGATGAGGGTCCAAAAAAAAGAGTGGTACTTATTACTACCTCTAGAAGACATGTGCCAGCAACCAGTGGCTCCTTAAGTAATTTAAAATAATACCTTTGATTTTTGTTTCTTCACCAGTTTCTTCTTCTTCTACTTCTTCAACATCATCCAAATCTTGATCAAGTTCAGACTGTTCTTTGCTACAATATCATAGTATGCACACCAAGGTTCAAATGTATCAATTACAAAAAAATACAGAAAAACTTAAAATTCATTTTCTAAATGAATATGCCTCTTTCAAAATATGAAATAGAAAATTCAAAAGGTAATTCAGTTTCTAACTTCATATGTAAGCAAGTACAAATTGGTGGACTTAAACCTTCATTTAAAAGCATCTGGTCAAATATAAAGGTAGTATTTCAAGCTTTAAAAATTTGGTGTGGCAGGTTTTTGAAGAATGTGACATCAGGAATTATGTGCTTTCTACCTAATATCCATTGATTCTACTCTTCCTTCCTAGTGACAATATTCTGATTCTATATGAGATGGCAACACTCTAGGCTAAAAGTCTACATTTCCTAGCCTACCTTTTAGCTAGATGTGGCTATATGACTATGTTTTGGCAGAGAGATAAAAAAGCAGTAGTGTAGAACTTTGAGGAAGGATCCTTATAGGATAGTAGATGGCTGGGAAGCCTTTGGATATTAATCCCTCCTTACCTTCCACCCAGAACACAGATGGGATAGCTAGAGCTCCACTGGCCACATTGGACCATGAGGCATCATAGAGAATGGAAGCCACCACCAGCTAAGGATGAAGGAATTAGGAAAAATAGAAGGATCCTGGATCTTGATGGCTGTGGAGCAACCATACCAGCCTATACTATCTTTGGACTTTCCTCCTTTTTCTTCATTTCATAGTGAAGAACAGTTTAAAAGACCACTGAGCCTACTTCTTGCCTAGAGCAAAGCCAGGAGAATGGTACCATTGAAAAAGAAAATAAAAAGTAATTGTCCTTCCCATTTCATCCTGAAGAATCACCAAAAATCTAGTGTTGATAACATGAGATTACACCTAGCATTAAAAGGGGACATAAGTATACCTAAGTCAAAATACAGGGTCACCATACAATTCTTTGTGTGATTTTACATTTTAACATCTCAATTAGAGATTTAGTTGCTTTTGTGACTGAACAGCATTTGAAAAATTAATTTTCACAGAGACAAATACCAGCTAATTTTCATACAGGGACAAGTACAGAAAAGGTCAACTGTATTCTGCTAGCAAAATTTAAGCTCCTGTCAACTAAGGAAAAAAAATTCAGCCTTAAGAAATGATACAGATTATTACTGGAATATTTTTGACTTGACATAAACTTAAGTGTATGAACACTTAAGAGTTAAGGGCCACTGGCTAAAAATAACATGGAACAACTTCCTCCAGTGTCTTCAACCATTTATTGAACATCTACATCTTAAGGCTTTAAAACTAAAACATGAGTCCACAAATTATGTCACATGGCCAAATCCAGCTCACCCCTATTTTTATACAGAAAATTTGTTAGAACACAGACAACACTAATTTATTCATGTATGTCTACGGCTGTTCTCACACTTCATCAACAAAGTTGAGAAGTTACAACAGAGAGCTAAATGCCTAAAGTATTTACTATCAAGCCTGTATTTACAGAGAAAGTTTGCTGACTCCTGCTTTAAAGAACAAGAATCCCTCCCTGGGCTAACAGGGATCCAAAATTAAATAATTGGGGATGGGGGGGATCAAGCTATGACAACCTATTTATACTTTTTAAAGTTTATAAGAAAATGAGGCTTTCAAGGATAAGATGGCAGATGCACAAATTCATCTAATCTTAATCTTTCCAAAATCCCCATTAAAATTATGACAAAGGAGTTAACAGACAAACTTTAAAGGAAAAGTAGATAATACCAGCAAAATTTTGGAAACTGGAAAACAAACAAGTCATAATCAACTTCGATGAAACAAATGCTGTGCAGAAAAAGCTGAGAATCAACCCAAACACATTCTTTAAGAGGACAAAAACTGACAGCACCAAATACACTTCTAGAACTAGGGCTGCGGGGTGAAGGTGGCTAGAATAGGGATGACTAAGTAAAAACTGATAAGCAGTTAAGTCCTTAGATCCTCTCCCTCACCTTAGCAGAAATATGGCAGTTTCTTCTCTGGAAAGGGTAAAACTCAAGAACTCAGAATAAGGGGACCAGAGACACAGTCAAGAGTATGTAAGGCATAGGACTGGCTATGTACACACTAAAATGCTGAATGTAGGGACCCCTAACTAGCCACCTTCTCTCATCTCAACTTGGCTACCACAACACTGGAAACCAGATAGATCTTTGTCCTGACACTGTTTACCAGGGAATCTAACCAGCCCAGAAAAAGTATCATTGACATTGGGGGTTCTCATAACAAATGCTCACTCTGATGACCCTACACTAAAACCCCAAACTGACAAGCCTCCCGCTCCACTGAAATTTTCCAATCAACTTTTTTCAAAAACATCCCTCAAGTGCCCCCACCCCTCAACCTGGCCAATCTTAATGAACAGACAACCAAGTATTACCTCATATTTGAGGAAAGCCTCTAACATTTAGATCAAAACAAATGAGGAAAGTAAATATAAGAGCAAGGAAAGTAAATGTAAGAGCAAATAAATTATACAGGGGGAAGAAATATCCAGAGAAAAGACATTACAATCAATGAAACAAGATCAGGATGCTATAAAAACTAAAAACAGCAAAGGAGTTCTTGGAAACTAAAATAATAGAAATTTTAAAACTCAATACAAGAGTCAAAAGGTAAAGTATTTCAGCTCTACCCAGAAAGAAAAGCAAAGAGACAAAGATGAAAAATAGAACAAAAGGTAATTAGAAAACCAATCCAACATACAACATCTAACAGGAAATTTCTCCAGAAAGAGAAAATAAAAACAAGGCAATCAACAAAATTAACCAAAAATAGTCGCTGGAACTGAAAGTCACTAAATTGCTGGGATGAAAGGGCCCACCACTGAACGCCTAACACAAGATATAAATAGAAAAAACAGTGTGAAAATCTCAGAACTCTGAAGTCAGAGCACCTTCCAGAAATATATATATTTTAAAAATTATCACATACAAATGATCGAGAACTATGATAGCTTTGAACTTCAACACAGCAACACAATGGAAGCAAGGTGACAACAGAGCAATGCCTTCAAAATTTTGAAGGAAAATTATTCCCATATTAGAATTCTACACCCAAACTATCAAGCTTAAGGGCAGAATAGTCATTTTCAGTCATGCCACATCTCAAAATAATTTACTTCCCTTGTATTCTTCCAAGAAGGTATTAAAGAACCAGAAAAGAAAACAATGTGGGATATGGCAAACAGCAAACCCAAGAGAGAAGAAACAAAAGGAAACACCAGGAAGACAAAACAGATCCACAATGACAGCCATGTAACCAAGGTTATTTAAGCAATCCAGATTAGAGCAGTCTGACTAAGGAGACAATCACTTTGAGAGCCATTATCACTAAACTGCCTGCTGCAACTCTTCTGTTTTTTTATGCTGACAACAGCATGCATGAGAAGACTGGCCCAAATTCTTAAACGTACTTACATGTGTGACTTTGTGACAAAGTTTCCTGCCCTCCCACCTCTATGCCCTGATGCCTACAACAGCTATGGATAATCATCCCTCTCATCACAAGTATTGTTTTAATCTACTCTGAATTGTCAGGCTACTGTAAAATTATAAGCAACAAATATTGTGCAGCTCATTCCATTCTCCCTGACCATATTTCCTGCAAGACATCCATCCACACTAGAACCCTGCCACACACCAACCTGATTAAACTTATGTTTCCCAAGATGCATGACTGTGCCCAATGACTTCTTCAGAATAGGCCCTTGTAAAACCTCAGGAAAGTTGAAGCAGACTATGACCCAGATAGTCTTTTTCTTTTTATTGTTCTATCTTGGAGACTTCAACTAACCGTAATAATACTGCTTTAAACAATTAAGTTTGTAACTGCTATTCAGATTTTCAAAATTAAACATTGAATAAGAATTTATAGGTGATAAAAGTCTAAATAAAAGCAAAGAAATGAATTAGACAAAAGCCAGAACACTGCTTACACCTCTGGAAAGGTGGAAAATGCAATTGAGAAGGGGCACATCGAGCTCCTAATAGCAATGTTCTATTTTTAACTTGTACAAATGTCATTATTTAAACTCTACACATACACTTTATACACATTTTGTACATGCTACATTAAAACCTAAGTAGTAGAATCTTTCAGAAATACATATGCAGTACAAATGAATTCTGTAAGAATTTATAATCCATTATCATGCTCAGCACTTCCCTAAGAATAAATGCTGAAAATTGGTTTACTGTATTTATGACAGTGATTATATCTGTCATAGTTTATCTTGGATACACTGTACCCAACTTTTATAATTACTAAGCATTACTTTTTACCATACATTTCATAATACATAATCCATACTGCTGTTAATGACATCATAGTATAAACAAAGTGATACCAAATCTCTGAAAAAGAACCAACTATCTGCCACTTACTTGTCAATGTCTGCCATGTTGTAAGAACTCCAAGTATCTATGGAGAGAAACAGAGTTTTAAAAAAAAAACTATATGATTTAAAACAAATAAAAACATTTAAAGTTGAAACCTTTACACATCAATACCATGTTAAAAACTATCTCAAGAAGAAATGTATATTCTCTTTGAAAAAGTATCAGTACTAGGAAGACAAAATCATGGAAAATACAAAGACTTTCTTACTAGCCACCAAAAACAATTTTTCAGAGGGTACTGCTTAAAACAACCAAGTTACCACTAGGCTTTCAGAATCCTAGAAGGGCTGTTATAATAGCACCACTGGTGAATAAATTCAAAATTTGCTAGAACAATAGACAAGGAACATCTAGAATCACAGAAAAGGAACACTACGAAAGGATCTTAAATCATTCAACTTATTTTACCAATCACAACTGGTCAATTTCTGCTTAAATTTTCAGGCTACGCATTAAAGAATAAATCCACTTCATTTTTTAGCCATATTAATTTAAACCAAATTCATGTTTTAAAAAACAAAATCTGCTACCTACTGCATTTATTACGCCCCCTGTAGATCTTTTTTTAAATAAAAGGTTTAATAATCCCCACATCAAAAGTCAGCCCTTTAAACTATTTCTTGACAGTTATGAAGCTCTGGGTCCCAACCTATTATCAGGTAAGCCTTCCCTATCTCTTCAAATGCACCTCATGCCACATCACTGATTATCACCACCTTTCAACATTCCCAGGTTATGCTGGCACACTGTTAACACTTGGTTACCAGACCTGTATAAATCTACTGTTAGGCTAATCAGAACATATCCTAAATTTCTTTCCTACTAAAAGGATTAGTAGTAACTTAAAGAACACTGCTTTGAGAAAAACAAAATTTAAGGTAAATGTGTTTTCAGGCAGAAAAATGGCTAGTTGCCATAGGTAATCCATAGGTAATTACTAAACACACACACACACACAAAAAAAAACTAAACCAAGTTTAGGCAGAATACCACATCAAAATCGGTTATCTTTTAAAAATTAAAACCTTAGTGTTTAACGTACAGAATCCTACAAAATGTGATTACCTTCATATCAACATGCTTAACATGCTTATTACTTAACACAGTTAAGAACAGAAAAGATAATTTCAGATCCCCATACAGTCCATCCACCAAAAATAAAATAGAAAAGATATTGGTTTTAGGAGTCAAGTGTTAATACTTGGGGAAAATATTACTGATCTAATACCTATCCTTTAGACTAATTATAAAGAAAATATTTCTACCTAATGTATCCTAGTCTATTTTTAAACATTTTTTATTTGCTTTAAATAATTCCTAATACTACTGGTAAATCTCAGTAGTGATGCTGGGTAATTTGCCAGCATTTGCAAAATGTTTAACAATTATGAATATTATTAAGAAACAAGAAAAATACTGAATCATGGTCAAAGAAATCCAATGGGATTCCAGTCTATCAAATCATCAAGGACTTTCTTTTAATGCAAGGAAAACTGTAAATACACATTCCTAAATCTGACTAGTGTTCCTACAAACTACTATCTTTCTGGAGAGCAATGTGGCCATAGGAAGATCAAAAGCTTTAAATATGTCCCTCTCCACCTTCTCTCATTAGTTATTCACTTATGAGAATCTACCATAAATAGTATAAGGAATCTAAAGCCTTTGCTTTTCATGTTCACCTGGAAGGTTCTTCCAAAATTCTGGTGAACAAGTTATCCAATTGTCAAACATATAAAGAAAAAAAAAAAGTCCAAATTCAAATTTTTATAACATTTTAACATGTTCACAGAAGAATAACTACACTGCTACCGTTAGTGTCTACTTTCAAACTCTTAAAATAAAATTCTTTTTCTTTACTAAAGAGCATCCAAGACAGAGCAGATACCTACTCCAACCTGCCCATTTAGCCATTCTGGCTAAATGAGATTTCTTGGTTGTACACACTTCTAAAAGTAGGCCTAACTTTATAGTCAGATCATTTGGGATTGACACCAGCTTTGTAGCAATCTAACTCTGGCAAACAACTTCTGGCCTTATTTCATCGTCTACAAAAAGTTTTAAAAAAAAAAAAAAGCCCTCACTGGATTGCATTAACCATCCAAGCAGCAAATCCATGTAAAAGACATTAAAAAAAAAAGCCCTCACTGGATTGCATTAACCATCCAAGCAGCAAATCCATGTAAAAGACAACCACTGTTTGATAACTAGTAAGTAATCAATAAACATAAGCTTTGTTTTCATTTGTCCATTTTGAATTATCATTAGCATGGCGTCAATGGTTCTGCAAAATAATTAGCAGGGATGATAATTAAAAACGGATTCTTTTAGTTTTGACAAATATATCATTGTAATGTAAGGAATTAACATTAGAAGAAACTGCATAAGGAGCATAAAGGACCTCCCTGAACTACCTCTACAACTTCTCTGCACATCTAAAATTAAAAATGAATATTAAAAAAAAGATTCCTTGGATCCCATGCCCAGATTCTGAACCAATAGGTCTGAGGGAGGTGGTTCTGAATACAACCCCAAAATCTACATTCTAACAAGAACCCCAGCTTCTGAGGCAGGTGGTTCTCAAATAATCAGATCACACTGAGAAACTCATGTTTAGGTTTACACCTGCACTAATTTCTTACTGCAGTTGACAACATTAAAAAAAAAATCAATAAGAATTTTGTCAGATATAAAATTACATTCCAATATTTGTTAAAAACTTCCATTCCTAGGGCCGTGGCCTGTGGCTCACTCGGGAGAGTGTGGTGCTGATAACACCAAAGCCATGGGTTCGGATCCCGTATAGGGACGGCTGGTTAGCTCACTAGCTGAGCGTGGTGCTGACAACACCAAGCCAAGGGTTGAGATCCCCTTACCGGTCATCTTTATTAAAAAAAAATAATAATAAAATAAATAAATAAATAAATAAATAAATAAATAAATAAATAAATAAATAAATAAATAAAACTGAAGACAAAACAGGATGCAGAGGATAAGGAAGACACTTTACCCTCAGGGCAAATGCCAATTATCATCAAATGTGAACTTTAGTTTTAACCACCTTGTGATGAAATCAAAATCTGAGGCCTGTCCAAGGTGAAGAATATTTACAGCAACCTTCCCATATTAAGCAGGAACTTCAAAATAAAAAAATATATATACATAGGAGAAAAAAAAAGCAGGAACCTCAGAGTGCTATATCCTCAGGCAAGTTCTCCTAGGCAAAAGAGCCCAAATTCACCTCTTCTGTGTTGCCCCGCAAACCCCAAGCTATGACTTAAAGTGGTCTCTCTCTGGTGGTGGTCACAGGCACCTGGATATCCAAATATAAGCAGAAGGCACCTTTATCCTTGTCCTCAAATAATTCATACAAGTAAAATTTCACGAGTAACAGGAAAGAATAAAACAAAAAGCAATCCTACAAAGACCTAAATATTACTGTCAAACAGACTACCAACAAACCTATCTATAGGCATAGGCCAAAAGATAACCAGGCTTACTAAGTTTGAAAATACAGTACAGTCATCCCTCAGTATCTGAAGGGGACTGGTTCCTGGACTCCCACAGATGACAAAATCCTCAAATGCTCAAGTCCCTTATATAAAATGGTGTAGTATTTACATATAACTTACACACATCCTCCCATATTACCTTAAATCATCTCTAGATTACTTATAATACTTAACACAATGTAAATGTTATATAAATAGTTGTTATACTTTGTTTTTTAAATTGTTGTATTTTCTTCCTGTTCCTCTCTCCCACCCCACCCCCCAATATTTTCAACTATGGCTGGTTGAATTTGCAGATGCGGACCTTGCAGATATGGAGGGCTGACTGTATGTGTAGCAGTATCTGCAAGGAACAGTCATCTGTTAAAAGCAAATTATGGCAAATTTGGAAACTAAACAGAACTTCTAGAAATAAAAACAACTGAAATCAAACTAAATGGGCTTACTAAACAGTAGGATAGACACAGCTAAAGAGAAAATTAAGTGAGCTGGAAGGAAGCTCAGAAGAAATCTTCCAAAATACAGCACACTAAAGGATGGAAAATACTGAAATGAAAAGATGTTTTAGGATACAATAAAGACTAACAAAGACCATCCAAGTTCCAGGAGTAGAAGAAAGAATAAGAATATCTGAAGAAATGAATAGCTAAAAGTTTTCCAGAAGTGATGAAAGACACCAATCCAGATTCAGGTAGACCTACAAACCTCAATCAGGGTAACTAAAAAAGAAACTCACACTTTGATATATCAGTAAAAAGACAAGATACCAAAGACAAAGAAGTCACCTTAAAAGCACAAACAAAACACAGATTAAGGCCGGCCCGTGGCTCACTAGAGTGCGGTGCTGATAACACCAAGGCCGTGGGTTCGGATCCTACATAGGGATGGCCGGTTCACTCACTGACTGAGCGTGGTGCTGACAACACCAAGCCAAGGGTTGAGATCCCCTTACCGGTCATCCTTATAAAAAAAAACAAACAGGCCGGCCCGGTGGCGCACTGGATAGTGCACTGCTTGGGAAGCGCGGCGGCGCTCCCGCCCGAGGGTTCGGATCCCACATACGGACCGGTTCCCGCTCACTGGCTGAGCGAGGCGCGGGAGCAACACCGAGGGTTGCGATCCCGTTGCCGGTCCAGTACGGGCGCGACACTGAGGGTTGCGGTCCGTTGCCGGACATGAAAAAAGACAAAAAGGAAAAAAAAATAAAATAAAAAATTTAAAAAATAAAAACCAGTATAAAATTACCTCATCAGAAGTCATTATCACTCAGTTATATAATCGTGGATAAGTTATTCAGCCACTCTGTACCTCAGTTTCCTTGTTAAAATGCTGATACTACCTACCTCTAAGAGCATGAGTTAATAATACAGAAAGAATTTAAAACAATGTCTAGATAATCAGTGTTCACCGTTACATTATTTACCCGTTCATATATACCCTCTTTAAGAAAACAAGGACAAGTGTAAAGCTATAGCTCTATCTATCCCCTACTCTGCCCATCAAGGAACTTCATATTCAGATGAAACTAGTCTGAAATGGTACTTAATATCACCATTAACTATAAGTTTCCTTCGTGTAAAGAATATTATATTACTCTATGCCCCCACCTTTTCTTTTTTCTTCATAGCACTCATCACAACACTTTATTTTTTATTTATTTATTTATTGTCTTTTTTTTTTTTTTTTACTGACAGGTAACGGGATCACAACCCTTGGTGTCGCGCCCGTACCGGGGACCAGCAACGGGATCGCAACCCTCGGTGTTGCGCCCACACTGCGCTCAGCCAGTGAGCAGGAACCGGTCTCCACATGGGAGCGCTGCCGAAGCGGCGCACTCTCCAGTGCGCCACCGGGCCAGCCCACAACACTTTATATCTAAGCAACCAATTTGCCTGTTTTGCTCATGGTATAAGATGCATGTCCAATTAGGTGCTAAAATACTTAAAGAATGAACCGAGAACACAAGTAATTACAGGTTTCATTAAACTTAAGGATCTGAACAGACTGATCATTAGTATTTCTATATTGATGAGGATTCATTCTCTAATCCTTTCACTATATTTCAACATATAACCAAAATATGAAAAAAAGCAAATTATCTTATTTTGATATCTTCCGACCTTGAAGTCAAACTGATTCTGCCTCTTTTAGCCCCTCTATAAAGGACCCTTTGTTTGAATATATTTTTGAGTTTAGAATTAAATCACCCAGAGCCAATGACAAGCTAAGTAATAAAATGAGTGATAGCATCTTAGATTAAATAAGCTCTAGTACAGGTGTTTTTAAAATCTCATTAAAGGAAAAGAACAGTCGTGCCATATTCAGTATTAGCTTAATAATTCTGTCTATTAATGAGCTTAATACAAAAAATACATTGCAACAGATAAAGTTACAAAGATTTTCAAATTGGTATGGTAACAAATTTTTCATTTCTATTTACTAAACTAGGAAAAACAATGTTGTCTTGAAAAAAGCATATATGAAGCCAAGGTTTTATAATGACAAGATGTCCAAGTCCACCTACCACTGTTCAGTTCTACCTATTCTTCAAAGAACCACACTTAGAACTAAAATATACAGTATAGATTTGGGCCATTTATTTGAACTCGGACAACTTCAAACAAGCCTGAGACACAAGACTATATGAGGATCACAGTAAACCTCATTTACCTTACGTCAGTTTTAAATAAGTTATCCTATATAACGGTTTTTTCCCTTATCCAATTCAAAGGCAATGTGTATTACTTCCTAATGAAATAAGGAGCATTAATTTAAACTGACAAAATAGGACCCAGATACTAGTTTCAAAAGACGTTTAGGCAGGCCGGTTACTCAGTTGGCTAGAACACGGTGTTGATAACACCCAGGTCAAGGGTTCAGATCCTCACAGAGGCCAGCTGCCAGGAAAAACTTTTGATACCACCTATTTTCAAAAATGGCAAATTTCGTTTTACAGCTCTCCGGAAACCAGGCAAACTGTAAGTTGTGCGATTTTAAAGTGTAGCCAATTCAGAACTCATCAAACCGGTGACAGTCCAAAATAGGGGCTCCTTGAGGACAGCCTGTACCTGGTTCATTCCTTTTTGTATAGTGAAAGCCTAACCCTACATACCTCGGTGCCGGCCTCCCTGCACTCCTTTTTGAGCAAGTGGGGCACACTGACAAGGCAGCAGGCTACAAACTTGGCTCCGTAAGTTTATTTTAACGCCTAATTCCACCCAACCCCATCCATCTTAAAATGAAAATAGCTAAACGAGTATCTTATCCTGGGAACTTCAACAAAGGGGCTAATTGGAGGAAAGCCTAGAAGAATTAAAGCCAGTATAGGCCAAACTCTTTATCTCATAACCCTTTAGAGGTTTCGATCAATTAAGATAAATCTTCCCCAAACAAAAAACCCTGGCCAAGACACCCATTTAAGTTCTAACTGCACACAAAACAATCTTTTGTTAATAACAGCTAACATAAGCGCTTTACACGCACTAATTCCTTAGAATCTTAGCAATGGAGGCCCTGCCCCATCATCCACCAGCTCACATTCACACTCTCCTCCAGTAATCTCCAATAAAAGATTAAGACTAAAGAGAAGCAGGAATGAGTTTAAAATCCAGGGTCCGGGCTTATTAACTCACTATTCCCTTTCACAACCCACCACCTCTACAACTTTCCGCAAAGTAAGGACAGCCCTGAGGCAGGGGGCTCCAAGTCATGCCCAGGTGGCGGCCACGAAGCCCATTACCACGTGTCGAGGGAAGCCGCCGGGGGTTTCCCCTCCCAGCACGGCCGCCGCCTCCAGTGGGCGGAGAGCCCGGGAGCCTCTCCGCTCCCCGCCCCCTCCCCGCCTCGGGGCCTCGTCCTTCCACGGTCCCTCCCTCCCGTCGGAATTCGCAGCCTCCGCCGTCCTTTCCATCCCCCAGCGAGCTCCCTCCGGGTATTATTTTCGAGGGAGAAGCGGAGGCGACGAGGAGGTGGCTGGCTTCGCAGGGGGGCCCGGCCCGCACTCCCGGCGCCTGCCGTCCCTCGCGGCGTGGCCGCCGACTCCTCAGGGCACCCGGGCGTCGCCGCGGCCTCGCTCCCGTCCGCGCGGAGAAAACGGTGCGGCTCACGGAACCTTAGGCCCCCAAGACCACGCCGACGCCCGCGTCGCCTCCAGCCGGCCCCGCAAAAAGCGCCGGCGGCCCCACGGCCTCTCTCATGCTCCGGGGTCGGAACTCCGCGGTCAGCTCCGGCCTCACAAGACGACCCAGAAGACCCCGGCTCTCGGTTCCCTGTCCCTCTCTCCCTCCCCTCGGCTCAGGCCGCCCGGCCAACTCTACGTTCCCCCTTCCAAGCCCCCATCCATTACCGGCGGCTTGTACCGGGAGCGGGCGGCCGGAGCTGCGCAGGCAGTGACTCAGGGCGGCAGCGGCGGCGGGAGGAGCAGGAGGCGGCGCCGCGAGCAGATGGCGCTAAAAAAGACCCGAGAGCCCGCCGCTCGCGCTCATATACAATTAGCGTCAGCACGTAGGGCCCGCTCCGCCGCCCTCCCCCTGGCCTCGCCGTCTCCTAGCAACGCGAGAAGGAGGCGGGCCCAGCCCAAGTTGCCTAGGAACAGAACCGTCCATCTTCCCGGAGACCTGCATACCCTGGCCGCAGGCTCTGTGCTCCCTGCCGCCCCAGCGCCGCGCTCGGGCTCCTCTGCTTCCCTTCTGTGTACAGCCTCCTCATACCACGCACCCCGCCATCTCTTTTCTCCCTGCTACGCCGGCCAGGAAATCTCAACCCCATCCGTTGTGGGGAAGGGCACTGACCCGCGCTCCTCGTCCCCGGCCCTCTTCTCCCGTCTTAGCCGACCGGGTCGGGCTCGCCTCATCCTTGACGTTGAGCTCATCCTTGTTTGAGCCTAATTCCTGCAAGTCCCCTGCTCCCGGTAACCATTTTCTCTCCCCGCCTAAGGACAACAGTTCTTTCCTCGTGACCACCTCGGCGACATCTTCGCCGGGTTTGCTTCTCCCAAGTCAGGGGTCCCCGCGCCTTCCGGGGGTGCTCCTCATCCCTATCCCTCCATCCTTTCACCTGACGTCCCGTCCCTCATTTCTGCTCTAGTTCTTCTGAGGAATGAAAATGGCATATTTGTGTATTCTCTGGATCCTTTATAATGAGGACATGGTACATCCGTCGTTTCAGTTTTTCCAAAAAGTAAATCCTGAGGCTTGTGAAACCTCAGAGCTATGTTTTAGTTGATGCTGGATTGACTAATATTAACTCTTAAAACAGTCGTTCTCAAAGTGTGGTCCGAGGGTCCACAGACCCTTCCAAGGAGAAGGTCAAAACTAATTCCATAATAAAACTAAAACGTTATTTGCCCTTTGCGTTCTCATTCTCTCACAAGTATACAGTGGAGTTTTCTGGAGGCTACATGACATGTGATAAGGTAATAATAAAAATAGAAGCAGATAGGAGAACCAATTATCTGTTGTGAAACTAGTCATTAAAGAGATGTACAGAAATGTAGAACAATACCACCCTATTCGCTCGATTTTGTTGGTGGAGGGAAGTAGTTATTTTTCACATGAAAGGTTATTTTATGTTAACATTTGGTTGCTTCATTATTGTTTTTAAAAGAAATAACTAAGCTTAAAGTTTCTCAATTTTAATTTCTAATATAACTATCAGTATCTATAAAACACATAACAGTTCTTTGGGGTCCTCAGTTTTTAAGAGCATAAAGGTTTCCTGAGACCAAAAAGTTTGAGAACCTCTTCTCCAAATGTTGCATTCCTTGAATTTTAAATTGCCTCAAGTTCTCTATCATAATCATCATCTTTAGAAACTTTTTCTTCCATTTCAGAGGATACAATTTTTCTTTGACACTCCCCCAACCTCGTTGAAATGAATTGACTTTCCCACCTTGCACTACAGATCCTCAGTTTACTCGTGCTTTTTTTTTTTTTTTTTAAGTGGCTGACCGGTAAGGGGATCAGAACCATTTTGGATCTTCCTATGTGATTCTTTTGTACTCATCGTTGACGTAACGCTAGCGAAGGTACAGTAACATTCATAATGATTCTTCAGGAAGAACCTACTATTCATAAACAGGGTAGACCAGTGCTCAATATATACATAAACGGCACACTGACTAATTTCAATGGGTGTCTCAAGATTGTTGCAATCTAATCAAAGCTATGCACAATACAAGGTATTTAGCATATTAAAAATGAACTAAAGGCCAGCCCCTGGCTCACTTGGGAGAGCATGGTGCTGACAACACCATGTCAAGGGTTAAGATCCCCTTACTGGTCATCTTTTAAATAAATAAATATGAACTAAATAACTTTCACCTCCTTTCCATAAACCTTTATGGTAGGAGAACTTTTGAGACAAAATTGAGAAGTTAGCCTTCATGATTGTTTCTATCCCACTCCGAGGAGCCTCAGCAATTTCAGGCACTCCAGGGACCTAAGGCTCTTAATTTCTTAGGTCTCAACTCCATCCTCCTAATTAAGGGCTTATCATTATCAGTTTACATGCTCTTTCTCTCTTTTCTCCAGTCTTCTACTCTCTTTTCACTTAAAGTTCTTAATAACGCATGCCTTTTCAATGTCGTCTTTTGAACCACAGTTTGTAAACCTGAATCTGTGCAATTTAAGTCCAGGGAAGGCCAATCATTTGTGCAATTATCCAACAGATATTTATATGTTGGGCATAACTTGAAACACTGGAGATACAGCACTGAACAAGAAAGACAAGGTTTTTTATTTTATTGAACTTATTCGCTATTAAAGTGGGGCAAATGATAAACGAGTAATGAAATAATTTCCCATATTGGTAAGTGAAAGAACTAAAAGAAAATAAAATGAGACAAGGGTAGAAGGTGACTGACCTGAAGATACCATTGAGTTGTTCACACTGACCCCTCTTAGACTCAAAAATCACACAATGTAGTTAACTAATATACTTTAATTACAATAAATGGTGGCCCTGGTCACTGATCTTGGACCATGCCAAACTTTCTGTTGAAGCTCCTTCTTTCTTTTTCATTGTAATTTTCATTTGGTAGATTTTTACAGCATTTTAGCCTACAGGTTTAGAGATGTGACTTTGGAGTCAAGCAGCGTACATTTCCTGCTTATTCTACCACTTAATAGCTGTGTAACTCTGGATAAGTCACTTAGCCAACCTTAAGTGTCAGTTTCCACATCTATAAAATGGAGAAAATAAGTTCATTCCTCATAGGGTTATTGTGAATTTTTAAATAACACATGTAAGTTATTTAACGAGGCACCTGACATATAGTAAACACTTGATAAAAGTTTACCATTATCAACCTCTTACTGAGGTTTTTGTTTTTGTCTCATGTAAAGGCTGAAGGAAGCCCCCTGAAGTCTTCTAATAGTGATATTATTTTTGTGAAATATTTTATTAAAAGCTATGCAGTTACTAATTTTAAAACATGTTTCCTGAACTGAAGTAATCCATACCAATTACTAGAAAAGTATAATAGTAAACATTTCTAAGTATTGGATACAGACAAGCTAGAGAGAAACCACACAAATCTACAACATAAAGACAAGCTAGAGAGCAACCACACAAATCTACGACAGAGATGGTATCTTAAATGTGTCTGTGTCTATATTTCAGCTCCCAAGTGGCAGGAAAGAGCATAGGCTTTAAAGTCAGACAGGCATAGTTTCCTCCCAACACTTTGTGACCTTGCAAATGTACTCTCCCACTCTGACCTCAGATTTCCCCATCTGAAAAATGAATAATAAGTCTAATAAAACTGACTCTTCACTATATGACATAGAGAAATGTGGGTAACTTGCACTTTAAGTTCTCAGTAGATGTTTGCTTTCTCTCCTCTCAATTAATCAGTGTGTAAAATGTCTAAGGGCACCAAAGTAATTATCATCTAAAAACTGCACAAGATACATTTAAATAACTGCTATCTTAGTTTTGGATCTGGTTTTACTTTTTTCCATTTTTCCCCCCCAAATTAATCTGTAAATGCAGCGTAAATTCAAGGTTACTCAAACAACTATAGATGGAACTGCTATACAGACCAGCAATCCCACTGCTGGGTATATACCCAAAGGAATGGAAATTATCATGTGGAAGGGAAATCTGCACTCCCATGTTTATTGCAGCTCTATTTTCAATAGCCAAGAGTTGGGATCAACATAAATGTTTATCAACAGATGACTGGATAAAGAAAATGTGATATGTATACTCAGTGCAATACTAATCCTCCATAAAAAAGAATGAAATTCTGAAATTCTCAGAAACTTGGATGAACTTGGAGAAAATTACATTAAGTGAAAAAAGTCAAGCACAGAAGGAGAAATACCACATGTCCTCGCTCATAAGCGAGAGCTGAAAGAAAAAAGATAGAAAAGAAAGAATGACAATAATATATTGAACTTTCAAAAAAAAAAAGAAAGAATAGAATTGTGGTTATTAGAAGTGGGAAAGGGGGAGGAGGTTTAGTGAGAAATTAGTTAAGGGTCACAAAGATTGATTATGTTTTATACACGAGTATACTAATTATTCTGATTTAATCACCACATATTGTACACATATATTGATGTTCAATTCTGTACCCCAGAACTATATATAACCAATTATCTTCCAGTTAAAAAAACTGTAAAAAAAGAATTAAGATATATGAATCTTTTCATAAAAAAAAAAAAAAAGCCAAAGTGGAATTAGAAACAAGATACCTTAAATTTCTCTGTCTATGACCAAAAACAGATTAATAGGTTTTTTAATTTAAAATATCTGTATTTTGCTATCATTTCTTTAATTGAAATTTTTACTGAAATCATTATAGATTCACATGCACTTGTAAGAAATAATTCAGAGAGAATCTGTGGAAACGTTACCCAGTTTACAACAATGGTAGCAACAACCCAATTATTCAAATTTCCCCAGTTTTATTTGGACCTATTTGCGTATTTATGGAGTTTGCATGTGTTGTCCCCTCCAAAACTCGTGGAAATTTGATCCCCAATGTTTCAGTGTTGGACACTGATTGAGTCATGGGGGCGGATCCCTCATGAATGGATTAATGCTTTCCCTGGGGGAGGGGGGATTAGAGAGTGAGTTCTAGCTCTATTAGTTCCCATGAGAGCTTGTTGTTTATAGGACCCTGGCACCCTCTCTCTCTCTCTTGCTTCTCTCTCTTGCTTCCTCTCACCATGTGATCTGCTTGTACCCGCCGGCTGCCTGCCACTTTCCGCCATGAGTAGAAGCAGCCTGAGGCCCATGCCAGATGCAGCTGTCCCAGAATTGTAAGCCAAATAAACCTATCTTCTTTATAAATTACCCAGTCTCAGGTATTTCTGTTATAGCAACACAAAACTGACTAAAACATGTATGTTTGTATATCTAATTCTATACCATGTTATTTCATGTGTAGGTTTGTGTATCTATCACCCCAGTCAAGGTACAGAACATTTGTATCACCACAAGGATC